GCCACTATTTCTACTGTGCATACGGCAAAATGTGTGGTACATTTCTTGTGTGCAAACACGGAGTTCCACTTGATGCTTTCTGTAAGCTTTTTTATAGAGAATTTTTGTCCCATTGATGGCTCTGATGGTTAACTGCCGAGACCATCCCATCTAACCAGATTACGATCAGCTGAATTATCTGTGCTGCCAGTTCGTTTGTAATTACACTTCTATCTGTGTATTCGGAAAGGCTACTGAGATGTTCGACAGTTTGGTCAAATGTTTCTCGCGAAATAAACGAATATTCCACTGCCATGTTTACTTTTATTATTTTTGGGGGGATGGCTCCTCATTTAAATAGACATTGGTGAGAGAACAAATCTATAGATAATCTCCATTTAAGAACGATTGTAATAATAATAAACATGTTATAATTGTATCATACAACGACAAGAAAGTCAGCTGCAACCATTTAACACGTCATAATACACAAAACTATGTACCTAATTAACATTACTGCATTGACAATTATGAGAGTAACAGTTAAGTTACAAATGACAGCAGCTTTGCGGACAAGCACATCTTACAACTACATCTAATCTTGGCTAAATTGAAGAATGCTTTGAATTACAGAATACGTTAGCGAATAGTCCTTCTAATGGTGCAGGAGATGTAAGTACAATTGTGAATAAACATATCATTGTGAAAGAATGCTTGGAGTTGCAGAATACGTTAGCAAATAGTCCTTTTATTGGTGCGGAGATGCAAATAAGTTAACATATCATTGTGAATATGCTTGAGTTACTAAAAACAGTTAGCGAGAAGAACTGAGTATTAAAATGGCGTAATAAACGTGGTTCGTGAAAATATGCTTTGAGTTACGAACGTTAGCGATATTCCTTCAATTGTGCGATGTGAGTAAATATTGCCAGACTGATATTATCGTTATGAAAGAATGCTTTAAGGTTACTGAATACGTTAGTAAAATTTTCCGTTCGGAGGATGACAAGACTTAACCGCCTAGGTTTAAGCTTTAAGGGGTGCGACACACACATCTACCAGCCGACTTGTCAACCAATTTGGGCTAAAATACGGACAGATCATGTGAAATTTAATAGATCTATAGTTACTGGTCTAATTCCACGTATCGATCGACATTGTGGATCGGTCGTTACTACCTTGCAAAATAATCGAAAAGACAAACGGAAAGGATATGCTTCTGGGATTTTGAACGTTACTTTCGGATGCAATGACTTGAACTTAGTGGAAGCAGCCGAGTTTTCTGATACACCCCAGCGACAAGTAACATTGAGAGAGGCGGCAAGAGGCCAAAATATTGTGTCGAGCAGCAGTCGACAGATACGGTGTGCTTGTAGAAGCAGATGCACTGATAGCCGACGTGGTTGTAGAAAAGCAAAAAAAAATGTGACAGTCGATGTCACAAAACTAGCGTTAGTTATAAAATAGTTAAAGTTGTGCTTTAATATGTTAGTATTAGCGGTTATTAGTCAATTTTGAGAAAAAAGTTATTTATGAAATATTGTATGCGTGCGTCTTTTATCAGAGATACAAAAATTTTTAGAAACCAATCTCGATTTATGGGGGATTTTGAAGGAATTTATATGGTGACGGGATTTATATTATATAGACAATTTCTGTTTTCAATAATACACTTTATCGCACTATTCCTTCATTATTATTATAGAACCATTTTTAATTCTCATGTTATTTTTTCTCCAAAAAGCACACCCAATCAGCTTCAGACCAATGCAAGAATTACGGTAACTTACATAGTACGTATGACCATCGAAAAAGAAGACTTTTCATACGTTTTACTAGTTGATCGACAAAATTACGAATATTTGTGAGTGTAGCTGGGGATTGAAATAAATGATGTATGAACATTGAAATTAAGAAAATGCCGTCAATACATATATGGTGCTACCCAATATGACGACGCTCGACAAGTCATTGGAGATTGAAGAATGCATATATATACATACATTGAGCATGACTGATGTGTATGGCTTGAGTATGGAAGGCATTGAATTATGGAAAACACATATCTTGCACTATACAGCAAGCCATATAAAAGTGTTCGCTAACAATAGAAGCATTTTCTAAAAATTTATTGCTCAGAAATTAGCCAAATGCAATTAAGAACTGGCTGGTTTTCTCTCACAGCTTCCACTCTATCTTACCTTTTTATACACTTACTCACTCACAATACGTGTATATATACATTAATGCACTGTAGTAGTTTACATATAGCAATCAGACTATAACATATCAAATATTGAGTCACAAATCTCATAAGTAAATGTGTATGTGGGGGATAGCTACCTCTAAAGCAATTTCCTTACTATTACTATAATTTGGCTGTTAATAAGCTTCACATTAATTTAAACCATTCATAGTTTTTAATAATCTAATTTTGAGTACAACATGATAACTTGAAGAGAAATAAAATTATTTTTTAGGTTTTTTTTTTTACTATAACAAACTTATCACAAAAAAATTTTAGAAAAAAATCTGTTTCAGTGTCTTTGCCAAAGTTATCTTTTCTGCATGTTCAATATTATTATCACTAAAATCTAAACTCACCAGAGATGAATTTATGCTCAAAGCTTTTGCTAGAGTTGTTGCTCCTGTAATCTCAATCAGATTACCACTTATATTTAAAGAAGTCAGGGTAGAATTTGATTCCAGAGCCTGTGCCAATGCTATTGCTCCTACATCACCAAACTTGTTGTAAGAAAGATTCAAGACTTTCAAGGATGTATTTAATTTTAAAGCTTCAGCTATAGCTTTCATGCCTACATCTTCAATCTTGTTGTCTTGTAGATTTAAAAAAGACAGGAATAAATTTGACTCTAAGGTTTTTGCCAAAGCTGTTGCTCCTATATCTCCAATTAAATTATATTTGAGGTCCAAAGAAGTAATAAAAGTATTTGATTCCAGTGCTTTGGCCAAAACTGTTGCTCCTGTATCTCCAATATTACTATTACCAATATTTAAGCAAGACAAAGAAGAATTTGATTTTAAAGTTTTTGCCAAAGCTGCTGCTCCTGTTTCTCTAATCTGATATCCACCAAGATCCAAAAAAGTCAGAGACACATTTAATTCCAGAGCTTGGATCAATGCTGCTGTCCCAATATCTCTAATATTATTTCCATATAAATTCAAAGAAGTCAGAGAGGAATTTGACTCTAAAGCCTTGGCCAATACTGTTGCTCCTGCATCCCCAAATACATTACCATCCAAATACAAACTAGTCAAAGAAACGTTTGATTCTAGAGCCTTAGCTAATGCTGTTGCTCCTATATCTCCAATTTCATTATGTTTAAGATTCAATAAAGTAAGAGAAGCATTTGATGTTAAGACCTTAGCCAATGCCATTGCCCCAGTATTTCCAATTTTATTAGTCCCAAGATCCAAACAAGTCAAAAAAAAATTCGTTTCAAGAGCTTTTGCCAAGGCTATTGCTCCCACATCTCCAATCAGATTGTGTGAAAGAGTCAATGAAGACAGAAAAGGATTCAATTCCAGAATGTTCGCCATAGCAGTTGCTCCTGCGTCTTTGATATTATGACTAGTCAAATCTAGCTTTTCATACGAATCTGAGTCTTGATTTTGTATGTGAAAACGATCAAATAGTGACTTTAATTGTTTATAAGCCGATTTATTGGGGATGATATTCAATAATTTACTTATATTATTCAGTGTTGTGATATTATTCAATTCGTCTTCCGGTAATTTATTTGAGCCTTCTAATTGGATTATATTGTAAGAATCTTCGTCTTTGTTCATGATATTATTCTCAACGTTGTACGCTGCGGAGACGTTTTCAAGAAAAGAACTGACTATGACTCCGTTTATATTCATTGTTTGGATTTGTTTGTGCTACAAATGGTCTGTACACCAATAAACTGGTTCTGATTTTGCATCAGACTTTGGGGAGATATGTCTAACTAGAGAACTTGTATAGAAGGAAAAAGTCGACGGACGTATGGCCTTCCCAGTAGGTTACAAATTTTCAGAATTCCAGAAATGCAAGCATGGTCGGCTAAACTTATAATCTTTTCACGAAATGTTACTGCCTAATACTTAATTGAATCAGTGCCGTCATGAGATTTCCGAGTTAGTACTGGACTGCATATCGATGGGGTATTATGAATTAAAAAATTTTAGCTTGAGGCATTGAGAGACTGTTTTTGGTCAAGATACCCCTGAGTTGTTGATCAACACTAAACTAGCGTTTGTTTCAAACCAGATCGAATATTATTAATTGATGACACCATAAATACATGCCTTATCTGTTTGAAAAGGCCACATGCCTTTTTACACAATGTTTTAAATAACAATCTAAACAATGACAGGACCGATTAACAACCGACCCCGATAAATTGTGTATTAAGAGTAAGGGGGAAGCATGTTGACTGAATACGATTACGGATATTAATGCTACCGTTAATATAAATCACTCATGCTGAAATGTATTATTATTAGCTTGTTTTTTGCGCTGTAACCATATAAGTAAGATTCCATGATTGTTTGGCGCATTCTATTGTTCTGTTCACGGGATATGTGTAAATAATTTCCCAGTCTTACTTTTTTCAATTGGTTGCTTTACCAATTTTTTTGCGTATCTATATACATATATTATGGCATTAATCCATAGGTCACCCCTTTCCTACTCTTAAAATTACAAATTCTCAAACTAATTAAAGTTAAAATTGACTAATGATTTTCGACGCTCACCTATCATATGAGAAATTTGTTTCATTTGTTTACATAACAGTGCCAATTTTTTGAATGTTTGCACGCCAAATAATGTGACACAAAGAGAGAGCAAGACTTTTACTCTCTCATTCAAGGTAGACACGAATACGCTAGTAAAATTATATGAGAGGATGTAATCGAATCCCGCCTTGATATCTTAATAATAATTATACGTCGCTTACGAATGTTAATGCATTTGGGAACTGAATATATACTTAACGTTTGCTTTACAAATGATCTTATCCATATCGATTATCAGTTCTCATATGCATTTGGTAAAGCGCATACATACTATCGTATTCAAGTCTAGGATATGAATAGTCTTCATCTGGCTGATGTGCTATTTCGTTTGCTCGTCCTAATATGTGCCCAACACAAAACACCTTTTGCGAGAGGACGGGGGTAAACCCCGCGCCAATCGATGAAGCTAATGCAAAATTGGAAATGTGGGCGCTCACTATCTAGTATAATTACGTCGTTTCATAATGTACTACACTGGACTTCCTATTCGAAGAATTGGACACATTTCGTTGACTTAATTAGTAAATGCGTAAATGCGTACATGCGCATACTGTGTAATCTTCCCGATCTGCCGATCTTTAAGCGGAGGTAGCTATGGGTTAATGCC